CTCCTAACTCTACTCCAGCCTGCTAAATCACCTCCTATACCATGGAACCAAAATGACACCATATGCAGTGGCATGACTCTTCCTTGACTTCTGAGACCTTAATGGAAACTGGCATCTCGGGTTACAATAGGGGTTTTTGTAAAGGGTCGGGGGAGCTTCTGCAGGATTTAGAGTGTTCCTTACTGCTCCATTTTGGGAAGGAGGGAAGCCCCAAGTGCAAGGGTCTTGTTGGACTTATCCTGCAGCACACTCCTGCTTTCCTGTATGCCCCAACTCAGAATTCCATTGCATTCCTCTGCTCTCCCATGTTCCTTAGCAAAAATGCAACCGCATTCTATGGTAGTGGCCCAGACACTGCAGTAACGCTATAGTTATTCTGGTGGTTTAGATCATGAAAGTGGGCCGTGACTTCCAATGCACTCTGTAGTACCTATTTATATAAAGGTCTCAGAACCTGCCAGATTCTGTGTCCCAGCTTAGCTAAAGAAAAGGAATTCTCCTTGTTTTCATATCCTCCTATCCTCACCCCGACGGGTTAGAGCCAGCATATCCTGGTCCTAAGAAGACAGCTTCTGTTGGAGCCTGTGGTGGAGGATTGATGCGTGTTTGAGGCATAGTCTCTCTCTGCTCCACTGAGCAGACTCAGGCACAACAGAAAGCTTGGGCCTGTATTCCTGCACTGAATGTTACAATGTAACCATGGGTTAGCCCTGCCTGTTGTTGTGGCTTTTATTCCTTGATCACTATTTAGCATGGCAAAAGAGGGACAAAACAGGATTTTGATACAGTGAATACTACTGAAGTAATTCTAACACAAAGCGCTAGAAACCAAACAAATTCATGTGAGGAAACTCATGTCTACACTGCAAGTGAAGGTGTGATGGTAGCATGCGTAAGCATACCCATGTTAGCTTTAATCTAGCCAGCATGGGTTACAGTAGTAGTGTAGATATGGTTGCATGGACTAGCAACCAGAGTGCAAGTCTTTCAGGTACCATGGGTATGTACTCTGGTTGTTAGCCCATGCAGAAGATTATGCCAGCATATCTATGCTTCTATTGTTATTTGTCCTAGCTAGATCAAAGCTAGCATGGGTATGCCACCCATACTACAATCACGTCTTTGTAGTGTAGACAGAGACTAGGGGCAGGTCTACACTACAGCCGGGATCGACACTCTGAGATCGATCCACTGGCGGTCATTTTAGAGGGTCTAGTGAAGACCCGCCAAATCGACTGCAGATAGCTCTCCAGTCAGCCCTGTACTCTACCCCGATGAGAAGAGTAAGGTAAGTCGACAGGAGATTTTCTCCTGTAGACCCCGCGGTAACTTGACCTAAGGTACGTTGACTCCAGCTACTTTATTCACGTAGCTGGAGTTGCGTAGCGTAGGTCGACTTACTGCGGTAGTGTAGACATAGCCTAAGAGGCGAGGTTATCTAAGAAAATTGACAACTCCCACACCATGTTGCCAAAAAGGCACGAGGTGTTCTGGGGGCAAAAATAGGATTGGGACGGGGGAGATGACCATTGTGAGGGATGGACTGTTAGGTTTGCAACAATGGCATTGTGGGACAGTCATTAGAATTCAAAGCGGAGAGAATTCTAAGGCAGAAGATGCTGGATGAGGACTTGACTCTCTCTCCTAACATTCCTTCTCCTTTTTCCTGGGTAAATAGTAGGACAAATAGGAAAACCAGAGTGTTTGGAACTATCCAGCATTTTTTGAAACTATTTGTTTGATGTCAGCCATAAACTCCTCCTTATGATATGAAGATGGATCTATTCTTGTCCAAACCCTACGAGGGACTAAATGCTTCATGAGAGTCAACATTTTGGGGGATTTGGAAACCATCAATGACATTTCAAAACTTTTTAAAAAAACGGAAATATTTTTTCACAAGTTTCGTAAATCAAAAAATGTGGTGTAACTGTTTGTTTTGTTTTTTACCCAACCAACTCTTCTGTGGGTGAACAGTGAGAACTGAGCGTGGTCAGCACCTGGCAGAATCTGTCCCTAACTCAGGGGAAAGCATGAGACACCAAAAATAAACAGAGGGCTGTATGTAACATTCATAAACCTGACTGAAGCAGGATTAGAAATACAGCTCAGCTCACTCTGTGGCTAAATGTCTTCTGCCCCTCCTGCCCACCATGAAGAGTTTGGAAAAATGGGACCTTCTGTATTGGCAGAAAAATCTGTAGCTTTCCCCAGTGCTGAGACATTTAAACCAAATGTCACTGCACCATGGTCATCGTTAGAACATTATTATCATGGGTTGGGGAGGGCTGGGTTGCCAGTCTAAGGTCAAGGTGACAGAATAAGTAGAAGACTGAGGAGAAAAACACATTGTAGAGCGGAACAGATTTATATCCATGCCTCTCATGAAAAGGCAGAAGTTCCCTCACTTGTACTGGAATTATTGGAAAACACTACACAATATTATCTGGTAACTATGGAATTAATTTGTGTGACTGCTCCATTTCCTCCAGCCAAACAACATTTAGCTCAGGAGTTTTCCAATATTCTCTGTGTTGCACTTACACCTTATCTGCTCATGAAACGTCTGTACATGACCCTGGATTCTGTTTTCTAGGCCTGTGCATA